TGCGGAAGCGGATGCAAGGCCCCTTTCCCTCAACAGTGCGAGCCCAGGAGTCCGGCCAGGACTTGAGGGAGACCTTGGGAGCAGCGTCCTTCTTGGAAGTAGTCTTAGCCTTGGCCTTAGCAGGACGGGCCTGCTTGTGCTGTGGGGGGGGCGGCAAGACAGGCTGCTTGCGCTTTCTGGCTCCTGATGCAGCGGGAGGAACCGGTGGTGTATGTGGCTTCAACCTCGGGGCCAAGGCACTGTAGACATCCGGACGAGCAAAAATCATCTCCGCCAACGCATCGGTAAGCGACCAACCCTGGTCTGCTTGAATGGAGGCAACCCCCAGCCAGAGAGCCCGGTCTGCTTCCACAATCTCCTGAAGTGATGGAGGACGCATATTGCGGTCCGAGGGCGTGGCCAAAGCAATGCTAAGAAACTTCTCCGCGGCTTTACGGAGATGCAGGAGATGCGCCCCGTCGTTAAGTGCAATGGCGTACATGAGGAGATCCCAGAATCGGCGCACAATGGGCTCCACAGGGCCAGACTGCGGGATGGAAGCAATGCATTCCTCCTCAGGCTGACCCTCCTGCAGGAGGCGAGTCAACAATTTAGCGTCAGTCCGAGGCCGCCGACGCTCGAGGAATTGCTCCTCATCAGATGCAGACGAACGCAGCCTCCAGGGGATCCAGGAGAACCTCCCAGCATCCAAATGTTCGCGCACGAGCATGAGAAATGGACATGAAGGCATAATATCCGCCCGAACCAGTTCAGATGGATAGGCCTTCATAAATTTCTGCATCAACTCCGCTATCTCCTCCTTTGAAAGCGATTTCTTGCCCGAGGCGGCGGGTGCAATAGAAGATGGAGCGGAGGGGCCGACCCCGGCACATTCGGTTTTGCATAGATGGTAAAGCCGTCGAAGAGCAGCCGCGTCCGCCGTGAGCAGGGGCGCAGCGGGATCAGCCCCAAGAGGGCGACCCACGATGGACACGATGAAGTGCTCGAGGGAGTCGGAGTCAGGTACGGCAAAGGCTAGCAACGCCATGGAGTTGAAGCCTTTGTCAACCAACGTATCCAGCAAACCGGAGGGAAGAGA